AGGAAGATACCTTGAACCCAGAAGTTCAAGACCAGCCTGGACAAAACAGCAAGACCCTTTTTAAGAAAGATAGAAAAAAAAAATTCTGTAGGGCATAAAATAAGTTAGATTTCTGTAGCACTTAACTTCCTAATTACGTAATTTTACTCCTAAAAATATTATGAATAATATAAAAAAGTCACCAAACCACCCACATTATAGATAGTTTATAGCATTTAAATTTTAAATCAGGCCGAGACACTATCTCTAGAAAATACTCAGTACTTCTCTTTTATGGAAAAAAACAAAGCATCTAATATATCAAAGGTTTTGCTAGAGCCTTTCAACAAGCTTTCTTATAGTTAGAATTTGCTTCTGACCAGCTAACTCTTGCTGTAAATCTGAGCTAACAAACTCTGAAGTCTAGTAAATCCACCTGGCATAGGTTTTGGGCTTTCAAATATTCTGTAAAAGATCATACTAAATGGCTACTTAATTCTTCGATATTTGTTATTTGTTTCTCCAACAAAAATATTAAAAATAGCAATCGGAGTAAAAATACAATGCTAACACCAGTAAAGCACAAATTGCTACATAAAAATGAATTGCACTGCAATACTTCACATCCTGAGCCAGATTCACCTTAATAATTTCAGCCATGGATTATAAATAATCTAACCAGAAGCACCAGTTTGTACTCCCATTCTTATGTAAAACCCAATTCATATTTTTCAGCACATAACCCAAAACAATCTTATAGTGTGGGTGTATATGGGGGGGCGGGGGGAGAACACACGCACTAAGATTTATTCTTAGGGTGTTTTTATGAACTCAGAAAGCTTCATGGAATCTACCATAAGCCTGAAAAATGTCTAGCATGGATCAATGAGAAAAGAATGTTATGTAAAACTCATTCAAGTTTCATTGGTAAAGCTCATAACCTGTTATGAGCACTTAACATATATTCTACTGCATTTATTTGGCTTTTATTATTGGACTAGTTGTGGAAATGAATGTTTCTCAGTATGTCTGATTTTCTATCTCGAATGTCAATGGCAGAGGTTCAGTTTTTTTATTAGTGCACAGTGGTAACAAGTTACAGTATATTCTGAAACAATAAACTCTGGATACAAACTACTCAGACTATCTGGTTCTTAACCAATCCGTAAGTACCACAGCAGAGGAGAGTAAATCTACAAAAGATCATCAGAAGGTCAAATGACTCAGTGCTGGGTGTTGTCCAGAAACCAAGCTGTTCAATATCCAGGACTGTAGACTGGTTTTACCTTTCAGGGAGAAACAGGTTGCCCCAGTGACTAAAGGCTTCAATCCAAAATTTGCGTGAAACTTCAAGTTCCTCTTTGGGCTGTTTTGGGGTTTTACTAACTCACAGAAAACAATTAAATTTATGATGTGATATAGGGAATAGTATAGACAATACCTCATTAATACTGCCTCTAACTCCATTTTAAGCAAGAGTTGAAATTAGAGTAAAATAATAGAGAAGACAGGAGTGTTTTTTGTTGTTGTTGTTTTGGTGCTGGGGATTGAACCCAGGGCCTCATGCATGCAAGGAAAGCACTCTACCAACTGAGCTATACCCCCAGCCCAACAGGAGTGGTTTTAATGTACAGGCTCCTGCTCTTTGACAATAAAAAAGAAAAGGCACTTAAGACATCATTCTCCTTATGAAGGGAAGACACCACTAGGTTAAAAGATTAAATATGGCACACCATACTTACACTTGTTTATATGTGGACAGAACTATTACTGAGAAAGTTCCAGACGTCTAGAACAGAGTAGATCACTGTAGAACATAATATGGGAAACATCTGTTTAAATCGGCTTCAGTTTTTTTTCATCCTAGACTATGATGTAACATTTTCCCCCATTTTTACTGGCACATGATAGTTGTATATAACAGTGGCATTTGTTGTTACATATTTGTACATGCACATAACAATATAATTTGCTTCAGTTTTAAAGCCAGTTAAGCCAGGTACAGTGGTGCATGCCTATAATCCCAGTAATCTGAAAGACTGAGGCAAGAGGACTGCAAATTCAAGGCCAGACTCAGCAACTTAATGTGACCCTGTCTCAAAGTAAAAAATAAGAACTTTTAAAAAGACTAGGATGTAGTTCTGTGGTAAGGAGCCCCTGGATTCAATCCTCAGTAAAATCAATCAATCAAGCCAATTAAAATGTTCTATTCAGCTGGTTTCTTTTCTTTTTAAATAATTGTTTATTTATTCATTTATTTATTTTTATGCAGTACTAATGATCAAAACCAGTGCCCCTGCGGCTGGGGTTGTGGCTCAGAGGTAAAGTGCTCGCCTAGGCGCTGGGTTCAATCCTCAGCACCACATAAAAATAAATAAATAAAATAAAGAAAAACAAAACAAAACAAACAAAAAAGAACCAGTGCCTCACACATTCTGGGCAAACGCTCTGCAACTGAGCTATAGCCCCAGCCCCAGCCTGTTTCTTAATAATTATTTTCCAACGAAAGAGAAAAAAGGAAGAATAGGTTAAAAATACACTAGAGGGGCTGGGGATGTGGCTCAAGTGGTAGCGAGCTTGCCTAGTGTGTGAGGCACTGGGTTCGATTCTCAGCACCACATAAAAACAAAATAAAGATATTGTGTCCACCTAGAACTAAAAAATAAAATAAAAAAATACACTAGGGAATACTTTAATTGATGAGTGAATGTCTATACTATAGCATAGGCACTACTGGACTGCTATTTTAATTATAGCAAAAATTCCAAACTCTAAAATTTTCATTTTGTTTTCTTGAGCACATTTTAACACACCTTATTCTGACACAAATTTTTGACATGGTGCATGATAAAAAACAATCCACTTTTTATGGGTATCATATTTTATTTGAAGTTTTTAATGTAAAAAAAAAAGGTATACAAATACAGATTACATTATGATGACCAAGGCAGTACTCTACATGACAAAAGTCAAAACAAAACAAATTGATAAAGTAATTGTACCGGCACAGAATGAGCAGAATATACCTGATGTCCAATCTAGGCTGCATATGCATAAAATGATCTGACCACATGCTTATGCAAAATAAATTATTTCCTAGAACACAAATACACCAACCATTCTGACTATCCACTGCCTGATTCCCCTGGTGAGTATTTTGAGAGAAATTCTACATAACACAAAAAGAACCGGCATGGCACTTAAAAGACTGCAAAAAAAATAACACAATTAAAAACATTTGTAATGTAATTCTGTATAAAATATACACAGTAAATCTTATTAGTTAAAAAAGGATTTTAAAATAAAAGATTACCCTGAATAATGGTTAAAACTATATCATAGAAAAATGCTCATCCTTTGTGTATTATTGGTAGAAAACTGATAGCTTTTGTTGCCAGGCAAGGTGGGGAAGATACCTAACTTGAAATCATTCATTTATAATTTGTTTAAAAATGTAGACAGGTTATACCTTGCCGTTTGCTCTTTATTTACAAGGAATGCTCTTTCTAATATTTAACCACAGGACAAAAAAGAATTTGAAGAAATTATTTTTCAAAATGAGGTCCAAAGGCCCAACAAAATTCTAAGTTGGCCCCTGCATTTTAAACAAACTCCCTGGGTGATAATGCCACATTCTAAGCTGCCCCAGGGGAAACAGCACCACTTAAAAGCAAGACCATGAACATTCTGGTGCAATATGTCAGAATTCCCTATATAAGTTTATGACATGAAGTGAATACTGATTTTTGTTTTAAAACAAGTTTCAGGTATTAAGAGAAACATAAACACCTCTCAAATGAACATGCAAATGTATATAAACATTTTCCTTTGAGGTTTTCACTGCTTTCAGACTTATTTATTTGAAGAAAGGAGAATGTGTGACCACAAACTGGAATATTACATTTCTAATGAAATGTAGTATTCAGA